CCCCCCCAGGGAACAGTGCAACTGTCATAAATATGAGTCAGCTGCCAAGCATCTGAATTTTGAACACATGACCACTTCTGAAATTGAAAAGGGGAAATGGATAGCGAACTCACGCTGGGACAAGGCACACTTGGCAGGCGTACCAAACAGGAGCACCTCTATAAGGAAATATTGCAATTTGAGGGGGGGGGGTCACTGATTCCGTTTGTAATAGCCCCATTAACAACACCAAAAAAAGGCTGTTGTTGTGGGTAAAATAGGAAGAGAGTGTTAGGAACGTTGACAGCCTTGAGTTGTGTTTTTTTTTTTTTGAATAATAAAAGCTGGGTTAAAAAAAATATCTCTATTCCGATTTCTTCTGAGCACGTATTGTACGCTGATTGCAAACTTACACCTGGTCGATTTCCAATGTTTCGGAATAGTGGTAGTCAGGATTTTCAAGAATATCATTGTAAGGAAAAGACATGATGGGCCTGGATCCTGGCCTTTGTAGGGAAAGAGCCCCTGGAAGTTTACTTAGATCATCTCGGTTCTGCCAATCTCATCTTGAACCTATTTTAAAAGAAATAAACCCCACAGATGTTATGGATGTTATGTAGAGAGTATTAGAGAGTTCTTCAAGGAGACATCTATTTTTCAGCCAATTGGCAAAAGTAGCTGTTTAGGTATCTACTGAATTCTAGTGGATTAAGCTGTAAAGAGACAGCTTTACATAATTCATGTTGAAACAGTACTATTTCTCATCAATTCTGTCCTCTTCATACCAAAACATTTTATCTAAGGACAGACACAAACCTAGCAATACCTTCAGCTCATAGCAGAGGTTCAGGGCTCTGCAGTAGGCTATCTGTATGCGTTGGTGTGTCCGAGAGACAGAGAAGAATAAACACTTCATTACTAGCAAATAATTGGGGAAGCAACAGTCTGCCATATCTTTCTTTCCTTTCTTTCTTTTTTGTCCTTCCTTCCTTCCTTCTTTCCTCCATTTCCCTTCTTTCCTTCTTTTTCCTTCCTTCCTTTCCAAAACAGCAACTTATAATCAAGAAACAGATTACAACAGTCATAGTTACAGAGAAATTCTGTGTACATTTCTGGAAAGAGAGTCGAGTATCTTGCCCAACACAAGAAAATTCATCTGACAGTATAAATACTAGATAATTTATTACAGTATCATATAAATTAATTATTATACTGCCACTCCCTCCTTTTCCTCCGAGACTCCGTTTGTTGGTATGCACCATATCATATCAGTATCACAAGTCTCTGTCTACCCATGCTTTTCTCCCAATCACGTCCTGTAATCTTGTTTTGTAAGAATATTTATTATTCTCACCAAGTGTTGTGCTTCAATTTATCCAGAAACAAATCACCTCCGATGACCTCTGCACCGCTCAAATATCACAAAGAATTCTAGAAAATTCAAAGAATCGCTGTGTTCGTTCAATGAACTCAGGAAAATGCAAAGGTCTTAGTGATTTTCACCCTGGCATTAAGAGATAAAGATCAGTTATTTGCATGTTGGAAAACATGCTCAAATCAGCTACATAAAGAGCATATTTCAGATAGTCATCCAGAAAGCCCTGGCAGCTGTAAAACAGGATTTATCATACTGAGCTTAATAAAATAATTTCTAGTTTGATCTGATTTCAAGTTACTTCCCAATTACTTTTCAAAAAAATTACTTTTAAAAAGAACTCACAGCCTCTACCATTCACTAAAGTGAATTTATTTTATCCTTGCAATAGCTTCTCAGATGACCCTGAGCTGGAAAGGTAAAACTGATCTGGCTTTGGTTCCACTTTATAATTTAATGAGATGTATCATTTTCACAAAACTTATTTACAACCTCCTTTACAGTACAAGAGAAAAAACCCCAAATAGTCTTTAAAAAAATTACACAAACTGGTTCGTTGCCATCACATCAAGTTTACACAGTACACTTTTATTGCCCAATATTGCAAAAAAAGTAAAAGCTGTCTGTGCAAAAAGCTGTAAAAAGGCCGATGCCATTTCAACAGTCGAGATTGTAACTCACTTTTCACTGATTAAATTTGGATTGTATCGTTTCAAATGAGCTGCATATTTATCCATACATACATACATACACAGAGTCACGGAAGGAAGGAAGGAAGGAAGGAAGGAAGGAAGGAAGGAAGGAAGGAAGGAAGGAAGGAAGGAAGG